AGCGCCTTTCACGTCTGGAGGACGTCCCAAGGCGCTGGACAGAGTACAACATTTCAGACCCGAGCTGGGGTTGGGGGGGGAGGGGATGGGAAGGGGGTTGGTTGAAGATGAGGGGCTTGAGGTGGAACTTGAAGGAGGCTAAGGAGGGGGCGAGGCGGGGTGATTGGGGAATGGAATTCCAGAGGTTGGGGGCAAAGTGGCTGAAGGCTCTCTCGCCAATGGTGGGGTGGGTGGGTGGGTCGGGGGATGTGGAGCAGGGCAGAGCCGGCTGAGTGGAGGGAACGGGCGGGTTGGTTGGGGGTTAGGAGTTCGCAGAGGTAGTGTGGGGCGAGGCCATGGAGGGCTTTGTAGGTGAGGATCAGGATCTTGAACTGGATCCTCTGAAGGATAGGGAACCAATGGAGTCGGACGAGAATGGGGGAGATGGGGTCATGGAGTTTGGTGCGGGAGAGGACACGGGCTGCAGAGTTCTGGATTATCTGCAGCCTGTGGAGGGAGGAGTTGGGAAGGTCGACAAACAGGGTGTTTGCATAGTCGAGCCTGGAGGTGATGAAGGCATGAACAAGAGTATCAGCGGCCTGAGGGGTGAGGTAGTGGCGGAGTCGGGCAATGTTATGGAGGTGAGGGAAGGTAGAGCGGGTCATGGCTTGGATGTGGGGAAGAAAAGACAGTTGAGGGTTGAACAAGACACCAGGTTCCTGACTGGTTGGTGAGTTGTAGTGTGCAACCATGGAGGTTGATGTTGCCAGAGCCTGAGGTGCTGAGGCGCTGACGTGAGCCAATCAGGAGGGCCTCAGTCTTGTTCATATTCAACGGTAGGAAATTTGCCCTCATCCAGGACTTGATATCCGATAATATAAATCAATAGTTAGACCTTAATTAGAATATAGAGTCTGGTATTGGTAACCCCACTATAGAAAAGATGGCAAGGCAATAGACGTGGTGCAGAGCAGATTTACTAGGATGATACCAAGGATGATTCGTTTAGCCTATGAGCAGAGATTTGAGGAACTTGGCCTTTTTCCGCTGGAATAGAGAAGGTTGATGGGTGACCTAGTAGGAGGCTTTAAAATTATGAATGTTTTAATAATCAAGGGAAAAATTATTTCCAAAATTCTCCTAATCTCCCCATTAGTTCCTTTGCTAACCATTTTAAATGGTTCCTCCCGACGTGAAAAGCATTATACAAATGTAATGTTGTTGTAAATTGATGCCCTCTAGTTTCTGACTCACTGACAAGTAACTAGAGGTTAGCAATTTAGTCAGTGAGTCAGTAAACTGCATCAATTTAAGATGATTAGCAAATGAGCTAATGGGGAATTTAGGAGAATTTTTTTCACACATAGAGAAGTTGGGATATGGAATGCCTGGTTGAGGCAGAATCCATTTTAGCTTGAAAAAGGGGACTGGATAATTTTTTTTAAAAAAGCTAGAAGGATTTGGAGAAAGGCTGGTAATTGGCACTCAAAGGATTGCTCTTAAAAAGACAGCACAGACATGATGGCCGAATGGCTGCTTTCTGTGTTGTAAATTTCTATGGTTCTTTGGTTTCTGAATGAAGGGTTGTATTTTTAAGTCACATTTTGCTTTTGTTTCTACAAAATAAATCTGCGGAATATGGGCATCACTTGTCAACTCTTAATTTATAGAAACCACACGGTCCCTTTACAAACCAGATTTGTGGTTAGTTAACTAATCCAGGTGACCACTGACATGACTTCCTGTGTGAAGGAAGTGAGGCCAGTGGCATTTCTTGCACAATACATTATGGTGTATTTGATGGCCCGAAATCTGCAATTTTTCTGTGTTTATTTCGCTTAGTATCACACAGAGGATTGGAGCCAGTTGACCATGTTTTAACTGGGTTGTCCTGTAGTCTTGAGTTCCTCAGACTGTTTTATGAATGAAGCACAACTTGTCATCAACACTTTTTTTAAAAGATACAATTACTGTGTACAAAATCCAGATAGACTGAGGTGATATTGCATATTGTCAGTGCATTTTAGTTACATTTGTTTTGTTTCACCTTGTTTGTTTCCTGTATATATTAAACAGCGCGGCTAAAGATGGCTGTTATTTTTTAGTCACATCTCCATCATTTTTGTAAAGTGTTTTTTTTCTTAGTAAAACATTAACTGCTTAATTTGAAACATTGTATCCCAAGTAGAAATTACTTGTGGAGTCCTGTAGTGTATCGGTTAGAGCACTCGCCTCGCAAGTGAGTGGATCTGTATTCGATTCCCAGGCAGGGCGAACATTAGGCAAGTTTCCTATTTCACAACCCTCTGTTTACCTAGCAGTAAGTAGTAACTCAATTGTTAATCGATTGGCGGATCACTTTACTGGGGGTAATAATCCCTTCAAAATAAATAAAAATAATAATAATAATTTGGTTACTTAAATCCACAAACATTTGTGGGACACTGCTGTGCGCAATTGGCTGCCGCATTTTGCCCACAAAATATACAGTCAATTCACTTTAAAGTATATTCTGTGAAGCGCTTTGAGACATCTTGAAGACGTGATAAGGTGCTATATCAAATGCAAATATTATTATTATTGGATAGCAGCTGTTGCTTGACAGTTATCCTGAATTCCCTTGAGCTAGGTAAAGGGGAATCAGACTGCTTTTTATTTCTATCCAATGAACCTTGCACACAGGGACATGTGTGTGTGTGTGTGTGTGCGTGCATACGGGCAATGCAGTGTACAAAATTAATTAAAATCAGTGTGGTGTAATTCTGTTCTGTTATAATTCAAAATGATATATACAAACTGGTTGTTCTGGCTATATAGACTGTCAATTTGCTTCCATTTTTGAAAGAAGAGAAATCTTGGGATTGGGGTAACACCACATGACCATACGTAGGGATATAGGTGAAGTTCAACAACAACAACCTGCATTTATATATTGCAATTTTATTGTATTTATGTAGCATTTATATTGTTAAATGACTATCCTTCTTGGAGGGGAGGTTAGCTGGATCTCCTTGGAACTGAACCTGCTCCAAGGGGTCATGTTTGGCAACGGAATGTCAAAATCGAGCCAACCCTCTGCAGGGGTTTCGGTAGTCAGTTCCTGAGCCAGAAAGCCTAATATCAGCCGACTTAGCCCATTGACAGGACTAAACAGTCACCGGAAACACAGATTTTTTTACCACTCAGCACCCTACAAGCCAAAGTCCAAATGGGTAGGGGGGTCCGAGCTGGAAAGCACCAGGAAGGATTGACAGACAGTGCTTTCAATGCCAACCTAAGCAGTTTTAGCTGATTAAACTCCAGCAGTACCCCAGAGTGCCCACTGGGGTCCCCAAGCCTCAACTCTGGGTAACTTGTGCCTAATACTCTCTGAAATTAGGTTAGCAGAACGTGTCACTCAAGGAGTGGAGTCCTGTAGCTCAGTGGTTAGAGCACTCGCTTTGCAAGTGAGAGACCTGAGTTCAATTCCAGGCAGAGGGCGAAACCTTGGGTAAGTTTCCTTACTCCACACAGAGCCTAATAATAATCCCTCCAAAAACAATAATAAATTGGTCATTTTCAATCTACGACTGTTTGTGGGACATTGCTGTGCGCAATTGGCTGCCGCGTTCGCCCACAAATATACAGTCAATTCACTTTACAGTGTGTTCTGTGAAGCGCTTTGGGACGTCCTCCCGACGTGAAAAGCGCTATATCAAATGCAAGGATTATTATTATTAACGTGTGAATGTACAGAACCAGAAATTGATGATTTTCATCCAGCAAGATCCAAAGTAAAACCAAATAATAAGCCAACACAACTTCATCTCATATCCCCGAATGTTTTCTTTACAAATAGCTGTCTAATATCGTTCTCGCTGACAAAATATACCTTCCTGTGTTGTCTATTCTACATGGTTACCACTCTCTGTACAAAATGAAATCACATCACTTATTATGAGCTTGAGTCATGCTTCCTTGGTGTAGATATATTGACAATGTTAAACTTTACTATTCAATTTATACCATTTACCACAACACAAATGACATTTATATAGTGCCTTTCATGTCAGAAGGATGCCCAAAGGCATGGGACAGTTGAGAGTTTGCACCCGAGCTCTAGTGGCCGAAAGCACAATCAACGATGAAGATCTGGAAATGGGCCTTGAAGGCAGCAAGGGAGGGAGCGAGAAGGAGGGATTCTGGAATGAAGTTCCAGAGTGTGTGGGCAGAAATGCTGCAGGCCCAACCGCCATTTGTTGGGCAGGTAGGGCAGGAGAACGTGAAGCAGACGAGTTTGCATCGAGCGGAGGGAGCGGACAGGTTGATATGGTATTAATAGGTTGCACAGGGAGAGAGGAGCAAGCCCATGGAGGACTTAAAAAGTGAGGAAGAGGATTCTGAACTCCATCCTCTGAGGGGTGGGGAGCCAGTGGAGCCGGGCGAGGATGGGAGTGATTGGTTCACGGAGCTTGGTACGGGAGAGGGCACAAGCTGCGGACTTCTGAATAATATACAGCTTGTGGGGGGAAGCGTTGATAGGCTGTTGAGCAGGGAGTTATCATAGTCGAGACTTGACGTGATAAATAGGGCGGCCTGAGGGGAGAGGCAGTGGCAGAGGTGGGGAAAGGCACAAATATATGATTTCAAGGATAGTTGAGCATGAAACAGGTTTCATACCAAGGTTTTATGCTGACTTGCTGAGATGGAGAGTGCATCCTGAATTGTGATGCTATCAGCACCTGAGGTGAAAAGGCGCTGATGGGAGCCAAACAGGAGCCATTTAGGATCTTGAATATGTTACGTGTGAGGATAGCTACATAATTAAGATCTGTAGGAAAAAGGCACAATTGGGGTTAGAAGTTTTAATCAGAACTTTGCAGCAAATGGATACTAAATGCAAGGATTGGATATATGTAGATTGATGTTCATGGACATCTTTTGTGACTTCAAGTAACATAAAGCACCATTTTTCTTAAATTGTCTTGTGATGTTATTGAAATAACTGAGTTCAAATCAACATTCTCTTTTTTGTTTTGCAGAAAAACGCCAAGGGTCAAGATCTCTTTGATCAGATTGTTTACCATTTGGACCTTGTAGAGGTGGAATATTTTAGCTTGCAGTTCATGGATGCCTTACAAGTTTCAGTAAGTGACTATTAATATATTTTTACTATTGGTAAAATATTAGATTTAATTTCACCTGTTTTACGCAGATAAGGGAATAAGGTGGAAATGAACAGGCTGAATTTTTAATTTTTTTTGTAAAGTTGGGACGAGTGATGGACTGATATTTCTGAATGAAGTGTGTAGGAATGATGTTATCACCAATTTGGGATAGCTGACCATCAGTACCTGAGTGGTTACTTTAGCAATTGTATCAACTAACGACTCAACAGCAGAGATGGGAGACTGGCTCAGCCGCAATCTTTTATTGAAAGGTTCTGAAAGGATTTGCTCTGTACACAAGTTTATATCCGAGGATAAGATTTTTAAAAATTTGGAGGACATCCCAAACCACTTCACAGGATATATTGTAAAGTGTGTGACTGTTACCCACAAACAGCCATGAAGTATGTGACCAAATAATCATTTTTAGAGGGTTGTTGGCCAGGACACCGGGGAAGAAAAACCTCTCCTCTTACCGTTCACCTGAACAGGCAGACAAGGCTTTGGTTTAACTTGTCATCCAAGGGACAGCACCTCCGACGAAGCAGCACACCCCCAGACTGCAATGGAGTGTCAGCTTAAACTATATGGATTCCGTCCTGACATGGACCTTCTGACTCAGAGGAAAGAACGCTACCAGCTGTGCCAGGTTGTCATGTGCCACAGGCTTATGAGGTTCAGTATGAAAAGTTTCTTCTAACCTCCACTTAACTCTTCTCACGACAATTCTGGAAAGGAGAAGCACGAAAAGGGCTAGCTAAACCAGCAGTTTGCTGTTTGCTCACATTGGTTACTGATTTTAATAATCCTAAATAATAATCTTTGTATTTGATATAGCGTCTGGCAGGTCGGGGGGTCATCTCGAACTGCCTCATAGGATTTACTCTAAATTTATTTTGTACGCGATTTTCCTAGCAGTTGGAATAATCTTTCATTATCTATTCTCATAATCTTCCAGATTTTTAAGAGCTGCATTCAATTCCCTCTTAACCGTCTCTTCAATGGAAGCAGACCCAATTATCAGCCTAACTAGATACTTACCTAGATGCCTGTGGAAAAAGGTGTTACCTGTGTGTTGGTCCACATAATAAACTTTGCATTCATAACTCCAAACTCATGTCTTTCTGAACCTTGATGCATATAAATAGCTGGAGAACCGATGACTTTTGTGTATTAAAACTCATGTGTTTTAGTTATATGTACAGAATCTGCTCAATAATTTTCAACAATTTCCCTTGGAAGATGCTTCTTTGTAGGATGAAGGAATTTTTTTCGCAATTACCATTTAATTTTCGATATTCTATTCCTATATTGCTATTTTTAACACCAATGTACAGTATTTTCAGTTAAATCTGTCTTATTCTTATTTCTATTTTTTGAATTTTTGTAGACAAGGATAATTTGCGGCTCGCTTGCTATCATTTGCGGGAAAGTTGCAGGGTTTGATTGGTGCTGTTACTGCTACATTTTTTCACTTTATTGATTTATCTTTTGTATTTATGTAGATAGCTGAATGATGTCCTTTCCTTAAAGTCTGCACGTTTAGTGAAACTGGTTTAATTTATATCACTAGCACCATTGAATTCCTTTATATTATCCACAGCCTATCATTTGTTGTAAAATGGTGGGGGGAGAGTGCAAAGTGACGGACTTAGGAAAGCATCTGAAGTGAGGAGCGAGTCCTGTTTCCGGAGCTGCCAGGCTGGGGTTTAATAAGATGTATTGCTGTTTTTGCAGTGATTAGCATGCTGATGAGTCATGAGCTGGGCCAATAGAAAAGTGCAAACATATTTACAAAAAATTGCGGAGTGCTTTACAAATCCCGGGAAATTGCTGCTCGCTTGCTATCATTTGGGGGACAATTGCGGGGGTTGATTGGTGCTGTTACTGCTACATTTTTTCACTTTATTGATAAAAACTAAACATAAGGAAATAACACATATTAGATTGTTGCAAAAAAAATTAATCGCTTCTTTAACAAAAATTGAGTGGCCATTTTTTGGAAGGGGTGGACCAGTGAGGCTACAAGAGCTCACCACTCCTGCCTCTCAGGCCGGAACCTCACACAGACACAGAGACCCAGAGAAAGACACGCACATTCAGAGACACAGAGAGAGACACACACACTTAGGGACACACACACTCAGAGATACAGAAAGAGACACATACACTCACAGACAGAGAGAAACACACACACTCAGGCACACAGAGAGAGACACACAAACACAGAGAGACACATTCTCAAGAGAAAGACACACACACTCATAGGCACAAAGAGACACACACTGACAGAGAGACGCACATTCACACAGAGACCCGCATAGACACACTCACATATAGGAGAGACATTGATACACTCGCATAGAGACACACAATCACAATAGCGGGGCCTCCGAGTATAACCCATTTATTATTATTATTATTTGCCGCTTGTGCTGCACTGCGCATGCGCATCCGGAACAGCTCTGCCCACAGTGATGTCAAGTAAATAACGCGAGCGGCTCACGAGCCAGAAACTACATTTATAATAATAATCCTTGCATTTGATGTAGCCCCTTATCACATCTTCGAGACGTCTCAAAGCGCTTCATAAAATATACTGTAAAGTGAATTCACTGTATATTTTTTGTGGGTGAAACGCAGCAGCCAGTTGCACACAGCAATGTCCCACAAACAGTCGTGGATTGAAGTGACCAATTTATTACTTTTTTTTAAGGAATTATTACGCCGGAAAAGCAATCGGCCAATCAACTAACAATCAGGTTTCTACTTACTGCTAGGTGAACAGAGGCATGTGGAGTAAGGAAACTTGCCCAGCATTTCGCCCTGCTGGGTATCGGCCCCAGGTCTCTTGTTTGCGAGGCGAGTGCTCTAACCACTCTAAGCCAACGCCTTGGGATGTCCTCCCAACATGAAAGGCGCAATACAAATGTAATCTTGTTGTTGTTGTAAGCCACTTATGGGGTTTGTAGTGGACCTCTGCTGTTGTCGCCGAAAAGGTGTTGCCGCACGTTTCTATTGGCCCAGGTCATGACTTTAAAAATGAAGCTAGCTGAAGTTATTGAAATGTTGACATTTGGGGCAGTACCTACTCATAATTTACAATTTTAATCTCACTAACAGAATTTTTGAAGTTGGCAAATAAAAATTGAGGGAGGTAAAAGCATGGAAGGTATTAAAGCGCTCTCTCTGTTTACAACAGCTCAGGCTAGAATAAAATTGAAGCAATAAATACTTCTAATGATATTTTATAATTGGTTTGTGGAATAAAGAAGTACAGAACAGTTCTGAATGTGGAATTTGCAACATTTGTGAGAGGAATCTGCACCATTCCCTTGTGCCTGTGGTGTTTATGAACCATCTCCCGTGCCCCTTGCAAATGTGACAAATTCAATATTTAATGCTTTGCTGTTTGAACAAAAGGAGCCAAGGGACCTGTTGCTTAGGGGACTCCAGCAGTCTGACCTCTATTATCTTGTCAATTAATAATCCAATTTACAACTTCATCTTGGAACCCATGGGCTTCTATTTCAGATGCAAGTCTCCTGAGCAAGTCTGAATCAAATGCTTTTTGAAAGTCTCTCTCATATTATATATATTTATATATATATATTTTAATTTTGTAACAATATTATATATAATATGGAATTTGTCACAGTTGTAAGGGGCATGGGAGATATATATAATATATATATATCATTCACCAGTTTATCTTTATTGAGGAACAGTGCTACGCGTGAAGAACACTCCAGTTTGGTTTGTTATTATTGCCTTCACTCTTGAATTTATTCAAGAGTATCAAAAGGAATACTACTCTTAAATAGTAAATTAATAGATTTAATTTATACAAGAAGACCATTTGGTTAGTTTTCCCAAGTCGAATGACAAATGTATGTCACAAAGACAATTGTTTCTTATGAACCCAATGTTAACTATTCCTAGAACCTTCTTTTTAATACAGTTACATGCAAATACAGTGTACCTTCAACTATTCTCTTTTTGGCATTTGTTCCCTGCCTTTTTGTTTCCATCTATTTTCAGCACTCTTTTTAACGCAATGTTCTTGCTCCAGGCTTTCTTTCTCTGATTATCTTTATTTCAATAATGGCCTTTGTTAATCATTACAACAGCTAACATGCAATTGGGAATTCAGAAGCAAATGCATAAGTGGCTCAGCACCATTCTGGCATGTACACCTGTCAGCACAAGGTGAACACTGATTACCCCACGTGCGGCACCTACACAGTCGAGATCACACATTAAATATCCAATGGCACTGTTTGAGTTCTTGACACTATTTGAGTTCCAGTGTTCTTGACAACAATTGACCAAATAAGATTGGACCTTTGCTTCATGGCTGTTTTTGGGACATTGCTGTGCACAAATTGGCTGCTTTGGGATATCCACCCAGTGTGAAAAGCTCTATATCAAATGTAAGGATCACATTATTTTATGATATTGTAACTACAGTAATATATTAAAATATTCAATGGTAACTACACTGTGAATTCTAAACAAGCAATTGCTAAAGCTTAACTTAGTAGAACTTCTGTCATTTGATTTAAAGTTTTAAATAGGCCAATATATTTTAGTTATCTCATTATTTACATTTCTAGTCAACAAATGTGAGGCCCCCAAAATCCGCTTAACCTTAGCTTGTAAATGTAGGCTATTTTGTTTTGAAATTTAAATTTATGTTAATTTCATAAATGTGTTTTTAATTCAGATGTTTGTTTTCCACAGTTCTTAAAAAAATGGGTTCTGAATAAAGATTGACAAGAAGAATTATCCACAATCTTAAATTCAATCTTAAATTTTAAAACAAAATGATCTTTCAGACAAATACAAGGTGGACTTTCAGGCTACCATTATTTTCAAACCCCACCCATTCAAAGACCTTTTTTTAAAGAATGTGGATAATTTTGTAACACATTTTAGCAAATTAAATATTTTTAAACATGTTCAAGTGTCCTACTTCA